GCCGTGACAGAGCCACATCCTAGGGAACTCCCCTTATATCTGATTAAGGTTGTGATGAGATATGGAGTGCTGCATTCTACCTTTAACCCTCTTCCTCTTTGTTCATTCAAATCATTATGTAACTTCCAAGCGATATTTTATCATATACATGTGTTTCCTGGGGGCACAATCTATGATAAATACTTATCTGTGTTTTATTGACTCTGCAAAGACATTTGACTGTAGATAATAACACATTATGGAGAACATCATGAAGGATGAGGACTGCAGAGCACTTAGCTGTGCTCCTGCTTCCACAAATATATGGGCCAATAGAATAAAGAGATATGATGTAGTTTAAAACCAGGAAATGTGTGCGTCAGAGTTGTATCCCCTCACTATAACTTACTCAGTCTGCATGCCATGCAAGTAATCTGAGAAGCTGAAATATATGAAGAAGATTAAAGAGGAAAGGTATCACTTCTGAAGTTTAAAGTGTACTTGACCCAGGCCATAGTATTTTCAATTGTCCTAAAAATCATGCAAAAGCTGGACAATGGAAAAAGAAAGACTACAAGACAATTGATGCATTTGATTTATTGTGTTGACAAAGAAATATGATCTCCTGAAGAACTCTGCCCCAGCTGCAGAGCAAGAGTTTGTACCACTGGACTCAAGGCAGAGGTTTCCTGGAGGAGGCAGGCATTAGGAGGGACTGTGGTGGAGAATCTTGGCATGCCTACCCTCCCCGGCACATCAGCAGGACTGACCTGAGAAGATGCTCCATTGCTGCCCCACAGCTCCCTGAGCACCTGCCTTCTCCTCAGCACACAGGGAACCATCTCCTACCTCCTAACCCCCTTCTAGCTTCCTTTATCAGTTCATGCTTCTGGGTGGCCTCAAGAATAGTAACTACTAAGTTCATTGTTTTTTTTTCAGTGCAGTGTAATATTCCCTTGTATGAATGTTGTTGTTGTTGTTGTTGTTAAGTGCTGTCGAGTCGTAGGCAACTCATAGTGATTTTGTGAACGAAAGTCCTCAACACTTGTGTGACTTCCATCCTTTCTCCAGGTTCACAGGGTTTTCAGAGGCAAGCTATTATGGAAGTGGATGCCACTCCTACTTCCAAGCTTGTTTTAATTGGGGAACTCCACCAAACACTGTCTGCCATGGGTAACCATTAACGCGTTTGACACATCAGTGTCACAGTATTCAGCTTCACAGCAACTACAAGTTACCTCTGTACGGCAAGTGGGCACACCAGCGCTATATGACCAGAAGAATGTTTGACCAAAAACAATGAAAAACATGCCTGAGGGCCGCAGATTAAAAGTCACCCACCTTTGGCTTGGTACTAAAGTGTGTCAAGTCGTAGACGACTCACCATATTTTTTTCTATCCATTCATTTGTTGATGGGCACACCCATCTTTTGCTACTGTAAAGAAAGCAGCAATAAACTGCATACATCTGTCTGGATGGAGGTTCTGGTTTCTTTAGGATATATTCCCAGTAGTGGAATTGCTGGGTCAAAATGGTATTTCTATATCCAGCTTTTTGAGAAAGTGTCAAATTGCCTTCCATATGGTTGCACCATTAAAAAAAAAAATTTCTTTGTCCCCAGTATTCTGATGTAATTCTTGCTGGAAAATCTTGCTCACAACACGCCTCTGGAAACTTTATGAGCTTTGAGAAAGGACGATAGTTATAGAAAGGCTTCAGGTCTTTTGTTCATAGGGTTGCTATGAATTGTGCTCAACACAACAAATGTATAGTGAAGGTGTTGCTTTGCTAAAAAAAAAAAAAAAAAGAACAGGAACTGCCAACGCTTACGGGGCCTCAGCTTCACCCTTAGTATCACCGTGGCGGGTATTTCCCCTGTGGCATGCCCATGTCCTTCCGTGGTTTCCCTGTGCTACTTCTCAAGTCTATCCTGAGTCAATGGACCATCTGACTTCACCTCTCTCTCCTCCATTCCTCTCTGCTGCTCTCCCATCTGCCTGGAGAAGAGCCCTGTCTGAGACAGTAGATACTAGAGAATCAGTGCCTGGCATAGAACTGGACCACTTGCACAATAATGGGTTTAAAAAAAAACCCAAACAAACCAAAATCCATTGTCATCCAGTTGGAACCAACTCATAGTTGATCCTCCATGGAGTTTCTGAGCCTGAGAATTACACAAGAAGAGATTGCCCGTTTTTCTCCCAAAGAACCATTCAAGCCACCAGAGGCCTTTTGGTTACCAGTGAAACTTCCTACACACTAAACTGCCCGAGCTCCCTATGAACAGATTGTGGATGCTAACACCCTTCACCTGATTGACTCACTCAGTCCTCACTTAAGCACGTAAAGGGGTTACTGGTGGAGTAATCTGTAGTGTGTGGAGCTGCTAACTCAAAGACTGTACAACCAAGGTTGCAGCCAGAGAGCTGGATCCAGATCCTAAACTTTGATTGTTTGCAATTTAATTTCCCACCTCCTACATCTCATCCAGTCCTACCGCAACCCTGAGAAGGAATCTTTTATCCTTCCCATTTTCACAAGAGGAAACTCGGTCTCAGAGAAGGCCCCAGCACCCTCAGACTTAGTTTTCTCTGGATCAGTCTGGAGATGCACACTGTCCAGGCTGAACCATGCTAGCTCTTCTGGCTCCTGTCTCTCTACGTGTTCCACCAAATCCCACCTTCTGAGTGTCCTCTCCTTTCCCTAGTCCTTTCCATCCATTAGTCAAGGCCCCTTCTGCCTGTGCTCTCCAGCTTCAGTGCCTCTGTCCCCAAGCAAGGCCCTGGGCCACTTTGTCCCTGCTTCTTCGTACCTTTGCCCACTGAGTTCTCCTAAAAAGACTTCACCTTCTCAGCCCTGAGTCAACCATTCTCAACCTCACCCTGGTCCCCTTTTCTCTGGTTGGCTACTTTTGACCACCAGTCTGAGTTCCTCTTATGTTTGTGACAGGCCTGGATTGAAGGTTTTACAAGTGCTATTTACTTGGAGGTAAGTACTATTCCCTGTTATAGAGCAGGAAAGTACCTTTATTCCTGGGAGACCTTGCTTTTCCCTGTCCCACTTAACCTCCACATCCAGTCATCTGTGTGGTGGGCTTCACTTTGACTGGGAGTTGGAGCAACTTCCCTAGGCAAAGCAGCCCTATTACCCAAGTGGCCAGACTTCTGCAAAGGATATCTTAAGTGTCTGGGACCATGCAAGACAGAGTGGGAGCACAAAGCCCCTTATGGAGGAGGAGACAGAGGAGTTCAGCCTTCAAGTGTGTGAGCAGGGGCTTATCTGGTTAAAGATGTGGGCATGGGAGGGGTACAGAGACGAGCAGGAGCAGAGGGGAAGATGGGTGTGGCTAGGAGAGGGGGGTGGCCTTGGTGGAGTGGGAGTGGAAGCTGGAGTCTATGATCATGAATATCATGCCCAGAGCTTGTGACTGATCCACTTCTTGGCAAGTGTCTATTCAAGACAGCACAGACTGGATGATCTGTGACGTAAAAAAAAAAAAAAAGAAAGTCCCACCTGGATCACTGGATAAGCCTAGACTTTGCTAGCAAGGTTAGCAAAAAGGAGTGCTATATGTGCCCTCGAAAACACATCCTATTGTTTTTATATAAACAGCGTCAGATTAGTAGAGGTCCATGCACAGGCTTTATTAGAAAGGACAGAGTTCCCAAGGGAAGCTTCTGCCAAACAAACAACTGGAAACATTGAGAAGAAGTGAAAGGTTGGCTACCATTTATGACCTGGTTTCTTCTTGTAGGATCATTAGTTATAACAGTACTTTTACTGATTTGGGGACCTTGTATTTTAAACGTGATGATGAATTTGGTTTCCTCTAGGCTGCAACAAATTCAAAACAAGATAATGATTATGAACAGTTACCAGCCTGTCCAGTTACCGACCAGGGAGCTGTCCCCTGTAGGGACAGAGGGGCGACTTGGCCCTGAACCTGGAGGCAGAACTGTGCTTAATGTCAGCAGGAAGTAGCCAGAAAGACCTTGCTGTCCGAGTCCCTGAAATCAGGGCCAAACACCTCTGGGAGAGTGGGGGATGTTAAGGGATAGAATTGCTGCTACCTGGTCAGTCTCTCTCTCTGTCAGTCTGTCTTGTCTGTCTGTCTGTCTGTCTGTCTGTCTGTCTGTCTGTGTCTCTGTCTCTCTCTCCCACTTCCCCCTTCTCTCACCCCCTCCCTTTCCTTTTCTCCCTCTCTTTCCCTCCTTCCATCCCAGTCTCTCTCCCACCCCTACCCCGGTGGTGGACTACAGGCAAGGTTTCTCAGAGGAACTAAGAAGGGAAGTCAAAGACAGACGCATCAAAGTGAGGACAGTCCCTCCTTAGGAATGCAGGGGATCCTACCCAATCCCACAGGTCCCCAGGCGGGCTAGACTATGAGACCGGGAGCCTATAAACAGCAGGGCCCCCTGAGGTTTCCCCTATCTCCTCCCGGCAGCATGTCATAAGGTTGGGTCTACCCCTGACACTTTCCAGGGGTGTTTCTCCACCTTTCTTCACTTTTAACTCTTCTGCACAGCCTATCTATCTTTCACTAACCATACCTCCTCTGCATTATCTTAATACACTTTTTTCACTTGTTTTGATAATTTTTTTTAAAGTCCCACCCCTCGTATCCACGGGAGGGCCACTCAGTGCCGGAGCAAGGGGTCAGCTGGGGTCAGGGTGGGGTCCCTCCATTCTGCACACCACATCCTGAACTCTTGAGGGCAGGGGAGCTGGACGGATGGGTGGTCTGAGAGGGTAACAAAGGAAAGAAGGCAAGACTAGGAACATTCTGGAATCTGGTTTATTGGCTGTGACTTGGCTTGGATCCTGGACGCACCCAGCAGCTCAGAGGGTGGAAGGCTGGGCATCCGCGTACCAGGCCCTGCCCGCGCTGCCCTTTCTCACATCCCCCATTCTGTGGTGCGGTAGGTTGAGCTGCTGGGATGGCAGTACCACGGTGACCGTGAGCTGGAGAGAGGGACTCTCCTGTGGGGGAGGGAAGAAGGCAGCGCAGGCCCCGGAGGCTCTAGCATCCGGCACAGGCAGCATAGGCACAGATCTCACACATGCTGGGGTCCTCAGCGATGGCCTCTGGACAAGAGAGATGGAGCTCGTGAGAGTCAGCTCCTCGCCAGATACCCCGCGCTCCCTCGAGACAAGGCGTGGCCATCCCTTTACAGGCCCCAGGGGAGACTCCACAGTCTTCAACAAGCTGAACTGGCCACCCAAACCTGCCAGCCAATCACAGCACAGATTCTAAAGGAAATGCCATAAGACCAGAGGAATGTGAATCAGCGCCAGCACCTCATTGGTCAGAGTGAAGAATTTGCTATGATTCACCAAGTACAATTTAGAACTAACCAAAGCTGAGTCCTCCACAGAGCTCCCCACATCTCATCCGTCAGAGGAGAGCCCCTCTTCCAAATCCCCAGGACAGCACATCTCTTCCTCAAATGGCACCAACAAGAGGACTCCCAAGCCGTACCAATGAGAGTCGAGACTACGTACCCAGACGCTGCAGGATCTCCTGGGCGTTGGGCTTCTTGCAGACAGGCTGGAGTTCTGTGGGGAATTGCGGGTGGCTACACAGGACGGGAACCGCAGGTCCAGCCATGCCTCCAGCAGCTCTGACTGCAGGCTTCCGGCGGTGCCCAATCCAGGATTGCTGGAAATCTTGGAGATCCTTGAGCTTCTTCACTGACTCCAGGGAGAAGGAGAAATCTCCATCCTGAAAGGAGCATGCCCAGATGGTGACCGCAGGCTCAGCCTGCTCCCTGGCTGTTACCATCAGGATGTGTCCCTCTCAGACCCAGTGGCTCTCAAGCAGACTTTCTGGAGTCTGGGAACAAGACACGAATGGGGTGACGCATGGTGGAGATAGCTCAGGCCTTATAGAAAGAGACTGAGTCAAGTAGTTTTGCTCTGGACCGTGAAAAGGTCATTCACAGAACCCTGGATTTGCATGGATGGAGAAAATAGACACGAAATATGAGATACGACAGGTGCCCAAGGTGCAAGAGGCACTGTGCTGCTGATGAGAGAGAGATGCGGGGCTGGTCTTGGGCATCCTGGCTCCTTGTGTCCGTGCTCAGCGCACGGTCATTACTCCTTACCTCATACTAGGGCCAGCATATTATCCCCTGCCTTCAGCTCCAGCCTGTGGCCTGGCTGTTCTGGAGAAACAATAAATGGCTCCACGAGCCTTACTCAGATAGAGAACCTGGCCTCTGTGGACGCCAGACTGGCCTGTCCCTTGCATTGGCCCAATGGGCATGCTCCTCTAAGGTATCCTCATGGCCTCCAAGATGTCCTTTAGTTCCCCAGTAGGTGATCTGATCATAGAGGGCAGAGGCATAAGATCTGGGTTGGAATCCAGCCTTTTTACTTCCCAGCCATGTGACCACAAATGGTTACAGAACTTCTCTGAGACTCAGTTTATGTCTTCTGTCAAATGAGAAGAACAATCCCTCCCTCCCTCCCTCCCTTCCAGGGCCACAGTGAGAGCTCAGAGAAGAGCCTGGCACAGGCAGGCACTTGGGAAAAGGGCCGATAGGGTGTCTCTCCCAGAGGTGCTTTCCTCTCTACCTGGTATCTTTTCTCCCCCAAATTTAAAGGGAAAAGAGTGAGAGACAGGACTGAGAAGGGAGTCCTTGAGGAAAAGTCAGACCCTAAACATGTTCCCCTCTCCTGGCCCCTGTCAAAGGGGCCCTTTCTATGCGGATGAACCTGGTGCTCCAGAGACAAGAGATGCTGGACCAGTGTGGCGACAGGGGAGGTACCTGCACGGTGACTCCACCTGCCAGGGAAGCCCAGGTCCCAAGCAGACACAGCACGGTGAGCAGGAAGGTGTTCATGGCAGCTGTGCCTCGGAGACAGGAGTGGCGAGTTCTGGATGCCAGGGAAACAATGGGACTTTTAAAGAGAACAGAGTTACTCAGTAACCAGGATCCTTTCATCCAGCTGCAGTCAATTCAGACCTCACCAGATAAGAATCAAGCCCTGAGAGATAAGGGAAGCCAGCTGAGCCCCACTTCTTCTCACTAGGCACCCACACTGACCTACAAGCCGGGCTGTGTCTTGCATTCATTCACCAACCACACTTGCTCTTGCTAACATCTGTTAGGGCTGTTCCTGTGTGGTCGGGAATCTGCAGAGAAAACCTACCCTTGAGGTGGAGCGCCCGACAGTGGCAATGATGGGTTCAGGTGGTGGGCAAGCACATGGCACTGGGGCTGGGGCAGCATGGAGGGATCCTTCACCAGCCAGAGGGCAAAGGATTCAGCACCTTTCCCCCGAGGAGGTGATGCCAGTACTGAATTCTGGAGAGCTGGTAGAAACTTTCTTGGAGAAGGGCCTGGGAGTGGAAAAGCATTTCTTGCACAAGGTGCCACCCTTGTAGCCAGGACTTGAAGCAGGCCTGAGCTTTCCAGGGATGTGTGAGTAATTGAATCTCTGGAGCAGGGAACGGTTGGGTTGTGAGCGCTGGAGATGAGGCTGCAGATGAAAGCAGGCATCGATTTGTCTGCTGTGCTTCTAAGTAGCCTCAGCTTCTGTCTGACTTTACATTCCTTCTACTAACTCAGCTGGCTGACTGTGAACTTGAGCTACATTTTTTTTTTCTCTCTTTGAGCCTTGGTGTCCCCTGTAGAGACCTATAACATTACCCACCATGAGGAATCTCTTTGAAAATTTAATGAGGTTATAAACATTTATAACGTAGTGCATGGCACACGGAAAGCATTCATTAAATGGTTACTCAGTTATAAATTTTTACCATCATAGCAGCAGCTCCCAACCCCCATCGACCCCTCGGGTGTCCACCTGTCCACCGAAGCCTCGTTCTGTGCTACATGCCCTTCAGGCTCAGATTGTCTTCAAATTATTGCCCTCCCTCTATCTTGCCCCGTAATTTCTCAATCTCCTTGGTCTGCTGTTTCTGCCAATATCTGTTCACTTGTCTGTTTCCCTGCCCCAATCAACCTAGTCTAGTCTATGGTGACCTACTGGTAAGGAGTTGTGCTGCTAGCACAAAGGCTGACGGTTCTAACCCACTACCTGCCCCTTAGGAGACCGACAGGCAATATTCTCTTGTGGATTTTACACTGGAAGTCAACCATGAACAACAGCAATGAGGTCCCCCTCCCTTTTTTTTAAATCCTCCCTCTCCAGCAAGCCTAGTGGTGTCCACAGCAAGCTGCACTGCTAAGCAAAAGGCTTCATGACTCCAGAAGTGTGAATCCAACAGTGGAGGGAAAATGGTCTCTTCCCAATGATATTTACAGCCTTGGAAGCTTGGTGGAGGGTAGCTGTGAGTTGAATCCAATGCAAAAGGAGTGAATTTCTTCTCCCCATCACTGCCCTTTTCTGCTGGGTTCACTTTCTTCAGTGATAATGCTTCCCTGCCTCTGCCTGGAAGGCCTTTCCTACGTGCTACTAGGTGAACTCCTACTTAATCTTTAAGGTCCAGCTCAGATAATCCTCCTCACAGAACCAGGTGCGTTCCTCTCGTGACTTTGGTTAGGGTGGGATTACTAGAGTGTCTGTCTGTGACCATCTAAACTCTGACTTCGGCACTACGTGAGTTCACTATGAGCTCTGCTGGGAGCAGGGGCCAGGGGCACGGGAGGAATGAAAGCCTCTGAAACCCCATCTTTCTAATCTACACTCCTGGGTAGAAGCCAGAATAGATTCTAGGAATAAAGGAGGAGCGGGAATTCCCAGGTGTAGAGAGTCAACATTGAAGAAGGAATCAGAGGGATCTGAGCTCCATACAGAAGAAACCCCAAAGGTTTCTGGGTCCTCAGGAAGGTCAGGAAGCACTAGGCCTCCCAGGCCTGTACTCAGGGTCAAGGTAGGACCTCTCTCCTATTCCGTGTGTGTGTGTGTGTGTGTGTGTGTGTGTGTGTGTGTGCGCGCGCGCGCACGCATGCTTGAGAGAGAGAGAGAACACAGGCATGTGCCTTGATGTCAACAAATGTAATCCAGGCAGAAGGGGGCTCTTGGCTGAATTCCCTTTCAGGGAAAGGTCAAAGACAGGAATGGAGTTGGGAGTGGCAGACCTGGAAGAAGACAGCTATGCTAAGGATTTACGGGGGGGGGGGGG